AATTCGCCTGAATTTTATAAATGACAGATTGGGTTAATGACCCATTCTGTCATTTTCAAAATTTAAGGACCCAATCTGGGATTTAGTATATTCCATGGGCTTTTTCTGGGATTTTCCCATAATTAAATCAATTAAAAATAATAAATATATCATAAATATATCTTTTTTAAAATTATATTTATTAAGAGAGTAAATGAGAAAAATGATAAATAAAAAAATAAAAGAGAATATATAGAAGTAATACCAATAAGAGAGAGAGTATTAAATATAGACAACTAATACAAAAAATAATAAGTGTTCGGATAAACTTAAAAATAAAACTTATACATAAGATCGGAAGGAATATTAGTTATTTCTCCTCTCTTTTTCTTTTCCTCTTTTTTTAATTTGCAACTCTATATGTCGGTGGCCAAGGCAGCTGCCTTTATCTTCTTTTTTTTTTAATTATTAAAAACAATAATCCAGTACATCTCGTCTCTAAATGTAAGAAACAAATTCTTTTTATTTAACAATTTGAATTATTTTTCTATTTTTATTCCCATTAAATATATATACTCCTTATGATTCCCGTGCAGTAAGCTTTTATTCATTATTTTTCATGTACTTTTTTACAAATAAGGGTAACTGCATAATTTTGATAAATTGATAACTTAATTGATTATTATTTGAATTTCGCATATTGTATTATTATTATGTTGACAATTAAACTTATTATGAATTTATTTTATATACATATATTATAGTGCATATAGTAATTTTTATTTCATTATTTTATCACCGACCTGACAAGTTTAATCAGTTAAACCATGAGAAAAGTGGACTATTATTGTCCTTTCCAATTCAGTAAAAGCATTTATTTTAGTTTGTAATTCTCCCATTTTTAAAACGATTTTTATTTATTGTTTTGGATCATTCCTTAGCCCATGGTTTTGGGCCCATCTTTTCAGTAGCCCATGCCCCACGCTACCTTGTCTATTCTCCCAACTAGTTTAGAAGCAATCGCGATCTCGATCAGATCCAACGGCTACTATTTGACGTTAGGGTGACGCGCTTTCACCCCCGTGGTGTGAGATCTGTCAATCTTCTGCTATAAATTGAACATTAGCGTTTTCTTCAACTCTCAAATACAGAACCTTCAAGAAGCAGAATCGCGTCGAATAGACGGTTGCCATGAGACTTCTTCACGGCCTTATTCTCTTGCCTCTGTTCTTGCTCCCGCTCGTCGACGTCGCCGACGGCAGAGGGGGAGTGATTGTGGGCGGGTGGACGCCGATAAAGGACCTGAACGACCCTCACGTGACGGACATCGCGAAATTCGCGGTGTCGGAGTACGACAAGAGAAGCGGAGCGGCGCTGAAGTTGGATAAGGTGGTCAAGGGAGAGACGCAGGTGGTGGCCGGCACGAACTACCGGCTTGTGCTGACGGCGAAGGCAGGATCGTCGGCGGCTTCGCAGAAGTACGAGGCCGTTGTGTGGGAGAAGCCGTGGGAGCATTTCATGAACCTGACGTCGTTTAAGCCTGTTCATGGATAAGACAATGCGGATTTCGCGCCTTCATCTTGCAGGGCGGGTTTGATCTGTGTATTATAATTATATGTATTCTCCAATCTGTATTATTTAAATGCTTATGGGAATAAACAGGTTTGAGAAGTGGGAATATGCAGAGTGTTTGGTGATATTTCATAGCAATAAAGATGTTTTTGTGTTCTTTGGAGATCCTCGACTGGTTTAGACTCCAGAACAATCTGGATTTTCACTGTTGTTTCTGTGAATCCCAGTATTGGGCCCTTTTTGCTTCAGTAGATCAAATAATTTTGCAAGCACTGATCAGATTCAGTTCTAAAACAAGCAGCTAGTTTTAAATAGCTCTTGAAAATAGAATTATATGCAATATAATAAAAGAAATAAAAAATAATTTCTCAAGCACGACTCACTTTATTAATTGAAGATTCGTGTTTATAGATCGATATTCTTATTCACGCCTTCTTTTCTCATACACCTCACGAAAACCATGTATTACTTTTAAGTAGTTTTTTTTTTAGTCTGATAATATCTGCTTCCTTTTGTGTGTGTGTGTGTAAGTAGTCTTTGGCTAAAGCATGTACGGAAAAGGAGCAAGAATCACAACCTTAAAATCCATCCATTTTAATACATTATGCATGGCTCAGAAACTTTGAAAAGAATTAATTGCCTTTCTAAGTGACTGAAGGTGTGGGGTGGAATATAAAGCATTACTCGCTAACTCATTTTAGTAAGCGGAGAATTAGTTGCTTAAAAGGATGATATAACAGCAGAACTAATTTCTCTTTATCTTCATACAATTAAGATTAGAGGAAATTTGACATGTTTCCTTCTTTTTCTTAGTGGTTAAGATTAAGGTTTAACAGTTTAATATCTTATAATTGAGTGCTTTAGAATTTAAGATACTATCTCTGGTTCTAATTATAAGAGCCAAAAAGTAAGTTGAGTTAGTTATTTGTCTTAAATAGGTGTTGTCTTTTCTAAAATATTCTTACTAATCAAGTGTATTGATTAAAATTATCATTGTTAGAAGGGCTAATTTGAAAAAAAATATATAAATATGAGAGATAAAATATATTGGGGTCTTATATTTAGAATCAAAATAAAAGTCAAACAGGGTTTTATATTAATGATCGGAGGTAGTATTAGAATTTAGGATTTAATATTGAAGGGTTGGGCAAATGGTAGAATTCAATTATTGAAGTGTCAAGATGAGAGAGTTTAGGAATTATTAGTGGTCTGCGTTTATGTTTCAAGCAAATTAGGCTTTCATAATTCACTATTTACAGTCAAGAAATCAGGACGGCGACTTTTTAATACTTGAAAAATTGGTGTTTATGATTTGGTTTCTGAGATTTCTTTTACCTGCAATTTAGGTTTATTAGTCGAATATTTAACTTTTAAGGCTTTGAGCTGGGCTTGAAGATTTTTTTGTCATGTTAGTAGACAAGGTGGGACTAATTATGCTGGGTTTTAAATTTTTAATAATTGAAATTACAGTTAAAAGAATTAATATTTGTCAATTTTATTTGCTTGTTGGACCCTGGTCAAGGACACCAATGGATTTCCAGGTCGACTTGCGCAAGTCACGGTACCTGATTGAATGACGGTCTTGATTTCGGTATGCCTCAAAAGTCAAACTCAATAGTGACCCCTTTCTTTTCATGGCCAAGAAAAGTTGTTTTCCCCTGTTATTTCATTTTTTTTGATAGGGCTAGGCCTGTGGAGATGATTTTGTTAGTACATTTATTTTAATTTTTAACAATTTTTGATCTAATACTTTTATATTTTCCTTGATTGAATTTTTATTTTTATTCAAGGACTAACAATATTAACTGGAATAAAATTAAAAAAAATTAATTATAAGGAAAAAACTTAGATGCATCAAATCTACAATTAAAAAAATAAAAATACCTGTAAAATGGTTTTCTTTTTTGCTATGAATGATTTGCTTGTGGATAGGGAAGGCAAAGTGACAGCAGGTTATTAGTTGTATGACACACTTGTTAAATAAATAGATAATTTTAATTTAGTACTCGTAATTGCAAAAATGACGTGAAAAAAAAATAAAAATTGTAATATTATAATTTAGATATTTAAGAGGTTAAAATTTCAAGAAAAAAATTATGACTTATATTGTATTTTACAAGTATAGTTGAATGACAAAAATGTCATTCTATCAAAAAATTTATTAACAAATTGTGAACTAACAATAAGAAATATCAAATAGCAAATGACAAGAAATGTATTAAAATAATAAGATATTTATTTATAAATTATAAACTGACAATAACAAGTATCGAATAACTAATAACAAAAAATATATTAATAATGACAAATTTGATAATTTTTTTAAAAAACTTATGCAAAGACATTTGACTCATTTGACTACTTTTATAGAATACCAAATCGAGCATCACTTCTTCTAAAATTTTAATCTTTTATGTGTATAAATTGGAATACTGCAATTTTCGTGTCATTTTCTCCTCATAGTTTTGAAACAGTCAACTTTGTGTCAGCCATCATGAATTAACCTCTCATTATTTCCCAAAATTTTCTGCCACCCACAATCATAGTTGTCTTGTCTATCATGCCCGTCTAATGCATGGAATGGACTAAATACATCATCTCACATCCTTATAGTGCTTTGATCGTTTTATTTATTGTTCAAAACAATCAAAATTATGCATTTTTACCCAAATTAATTTTTCCCCCAAAAATGTACAACCTCATGTGATTTTATTGACTAACTTAAAAAGATTAAAAAAATTAATTAAATTAGTTATTTATAATGAATAAGTATTGTCTTTATTAAAATATCATTACTAATAATGTAAATTAGCTAAAATTACTACTTGATGAAAATTTTAACTTGATAAAATCTTTAATATATGCAACTATTGTAAGTACTATTTAAAAAAAAAGATAATATGAAATATAAAGTGAATTAAAGTCTTATATTTTAAACTAACTCTTATATTAAAAATGAAATGAAGTATAATTTGTCAATGCTTGAATAAGATTCTATCAATGTGTAATTGCCTTCTTTCACTAGGCTGATTGTATAAGCACAGTGTCATACTAAAATTTTTTAACTTTAACGATTAAGGTGTATATATCATTCTGAAATATATTCATAGGTGCATATGACACTATAAAGTATTTTATGGTTTATTCAATAATTTAATCTTTTTTCGCTTTACACCAAAAAATATTTTTTAGCGTTGGACGCATTCAAAAAAAAAAAGAAATGCAAGATACACTAAAAAATACTTTAGCAATAAAAAATACACTAAAAAAGACGCGCCCTGCCTTTAATGAGTGTTTATATTTAATCTCATTTTTTCTTCGGTTTGATTCATAATATCGGCAATAACAAGGGCAAATGTTTTCCTCCCTAAATACTCTACTGTAAACGGAATCTTCTTCTGCTCGTTTCCTAAAGCCGGGGAAGTAATTAGAAATTTGAATCAAATTGACGGTTGCCATGGGACTTCTCCGCAACTCACTCCTCCTCCTTTCCCTGCTCTTCGTTCCTCTCTGCGCCGTCGCCGGAGGCCGTGGTCCCTGGTGGATGGACACCGATAGCTAATATCGAAGAGCCGCACGTGACGGAGATCGCGAATTTCGCGGTGGAGGAGTACGACAAGAGAAATGGGGTGAAGCTGAAGTTGGAGAAGGTAGTGAAGGGAGAGACGCAGGTGGTGGCGACGACGAAGGATGGATCGTCGTCGGCGACGAAGAATTACGAAGCCGTTGTGCGGGAAAAACCGTGGGAGCATTTCCGGAACCTTACTTCGTTTGAGGCCGTTGAAGGGTAGATCACAGATAGGACAATGTAGATTTCGCTTTATTTCTCCCTTCTAACTCATTTCATCTGTTGTTTCTATGATCGCGTTTAATCTGTAAAATTATAATTTGCCGTCATCACGCCGCCACACGATTTCGCATATTAATAACTGGTAAAAGCCCGGCACATTGCACAAGTTACGTAAATCTATAACAGTCATTATAAGTTGAACAGTTATAAAATACGTTTTATTAGGAAAATTATTATGAAATTCTAGTAAAAATATAACTACTAAAAAATTATTATGAAAATTTATAATTTTTTATTCTGAAAGTTGTCATTAAATAATGTTTGTTATTATTAATCATGTTTCTTATTTTATAGAATCAGTAATTACTGAAAGCTTTCGAGTTTCGATATGGACATGATGATTTTAGTAGAAATGACGGCGCGATTTGCTAACAACATTTATAAAAGGAAAATTGGTTAAAAAGAAAAAAAAGTAGAAAAGACCGGTGGATGGGGAAAAGCATGGGAAGAAAAATAGTGGACGACCATGAGGGACAAAGTCGGTTCACGAGGAGCAAGTCAAGGGGTCCTACAGTGTAATTATGGATAAGATCAATTTAATCTGTACCCCAAATTTTATATTAATTAATAATAAAATCATTAAGATTTTTTAATATATATATATAGGATCCGTTTTTTTAATTAAAGTACTTAATACTCCTCCGGTCCTTATTATAAGACCCAATTTGACTTTTTATTTGGTCATAATTATAAGACCCAATTCATTTTCTCTCTTATATTTATGCATTTTTTTCCAAGATAATCCTTCTAATAATGATAGTTTTAGCCAATATACTTAATTAACAAGGATATTTTAGGAATAACAACGCTTATTTATTATAAATAACCAACTTAACTTACTTCCTTAATCTCCTCAAATAAGTTAATTGGGTCTTATAATTAGGATCGGAAGAGTAGTTTTCACATTGTTCTGTCTCTTCAGTCTTTACGCGTGGCGTGGGGGGCACCGTGTGCGTTGCATGGGGAATAATTTGGAGAAAATCATTACACAGTTCAACATAAGCAACCTAGTTACTTAAAAATCACATGACAAGTAAATAAATTCATGTCATTTCATATTCCAGAATTTGTCATTACACGACATTTATGTGTTGTGAAATTTTTAATGATTAAAGTACTAATATAGAAAATTTTCAAATAAGTTTTTTTCGTTACCGTGCCTGTAGGAAATTAAATTAGACGGACCTCTCATATACAGAATTTGATTAACAAGTCATATTTTTATAATTCATGAACAAATGTGTTCCATTATAGATTTTACATTGAAGATGATATATCGATTTATTTTGATGTGAATATTGATTTCTTTTTTTAAAGCACAGGTACCATACTATTAGATTGGACATTAAATATTAATACTTTTTTAAGTGATGATTCCAGCCTTGACTACTTATGTTTCAAAAAACTAGTTTTTTCTACGGGATTTAATTTCCATTAGTTGTGAATAGTGATACTTTTTTTTTTTGTCTAGAATATCCTTCCACTCAAATGGTAGGAAACTAGTTTTTCAGGGTACTGTCAGGCACCCTAGAGAGGATCCCTCCTAATAGTATTTTTTTTATGCACACCATTCTAAAAATCAAACCTATAACATAATATTTAAGGTGTCGAAGTCCTCCCTTCCACACCAACACTTATTGGTTTGAACAGTGGTATTTGATGACACTGAAAGATGAACGGGCGTCAATATCTGAGTGGGCGTGTTGGTTTGGAAGCTGAAGGTCCACCCACTTGCCACGAGCTCGAATCTGACTCAGGGAGAAGCGAAGAGATGGAAGGTAAAGGGGTCAAAATGGCCAATCGATGTTTTTTGCAATAAAAGCAGCCGACGTTGGTTGGGCCAATACAAGTATTGGGCCTAACCGTCTTGTCGGGCCTTTAATACCGCAGAGGAAAATCAAGAAATCTTAGGTTCCCATCCAAACTTTTGTTGCCGAACAAAACTGCAATACAAATCATGCGAGAGACGTAATGTGCAGTATTTAGTAAAAGAGCTATGAATAATGGATAAGGACGTTAGAGTGTGTGTGTGTGTGATGGGGATAGAATAGAAGCATGTGAGTGTGAAGCTGGAAAGAAGCTTCTCACTTGGGAAAGGGATTAGTCTCTTTAGCGTTCAAGTTGATGTCCTTTTCCCTCCTCATCCTGTCTTCATTTAATTTCATCAAACCTCAATACTCCCAACATTTCTCACTCACACATATTTCCCCACTTTCATTAATTGTCAGTTTGTCACTCATGCCCATACCATAAAACCAGCAGAAACTAGTAATACCACCGATGATATTCACGGCTTTAAATATAAGATTTTAATTCATTTTGTCTTTTAAATTTGTAATATAATCTTAAAAATATCCTTATTGATTGTAAGGTATTTCCACCCAAGTATAGCTTTAATGTACATGATTGAATAAGGCTAATTTAATAAAATCAGCACATATTTATTACGAATAACTAATTCAATTATTTTTTTTAATCTTTCCAAATTCATTATTTAGCACTTATATTAAAAATCGGAGGTGATATACTGCTTTCAATCCTCATTACAGGGTAAAGTTAACTTACTTCACAGTTCTTAAGAAATATTAGTTGATATCTTTAAATTTATAGAAAACGTTTATTTTTTGGTTATTAAAAATTAATAACCATAATAAAATGTTGTCTGGGGATTAAAAATATACCAACAACTAGTTGTGATCGGGAAGGAATAAGATTGGAGGACAATTTAATCTAATTATCACATTAGGACTAGTTGGGATTTTAAAATTTTTCCCTAAAATGAGAACCACAAGGAGTATTCTACATCTTTTTTTTTTTTTGCCCACGAGTATTCTACATCTTTTGAGTTTTTATCTTTAGGATAAATAATAAGTACATAGCCGTTGCTAATTCTATTTTTTTTTCCATAATTTATTCCAACTCCTGTCTTTGAGTTTTTTCTAATACGTAACTCAATGCTGAGAAAATAAGGAGATGTGACAATAAGTATCTTATGGCTTAGGCCTTAGGGCGAATTGTCAATGTCAGCCCAACCCAACCCAACCCCACAAACATGTGCGCATGCGTGTTCCTTTTAAATTTTTCCTAAATATTATTTGTTTTATAATAGTGGTAATACTCCTCATATTCTAAATATAAAACTCATTAATAATATAAATTATATTATAAAATAGGTTTTATATTTAGAACCAGAAGAATATTTTCCAATATTTCTCCTGTGATAGATTGATTTTATGATTACGATGAAGATTACTATGATTTAAATTTTTAATTCCATTTAATATTTCAGGTTAGTTTTAACTTAATATTCCATCATGTAAAAAGATAAGGAATGACTGTTACATATATATAATTTAAAAACAATTATTTTTTTAACTCTATCATTTTCTTAAAATAATGCATCCTTAGTAACCAAAATGATTTTTTTTTAAAACTAAAATATAAGTATCTTCCTATTGGAGACAATCATATTCGAGACACTGTGGGGTATTAAATTCCTACGTTGTGAGGGACTAGCTTTTTCCACTAGATCTAACCCCTGTTGTTAGTTACCAAAATGATTTTTTATTGATAAGTTCATTTTTCGTATTTTTGATAAGGTTGGCCCAATGAATGCTCTGGGCGGGCATTACGTGGGGATTAAGCCTAACTCGCGCGGATCATATTCATAATCGTAAGTCCAACATCCAAATTGAAATTGAAATTGAAATTATACTAATATAACAAAAAAAAAATCATCATTATTGTCAATTTTAATTTGTAATTTTTTTTTACAATTAAAAAACTACACGCCTCAAATTTTTACCAGCTTGGCAAATGGCATAGGGTCCGTTTCTTAGGGTACATGTCTCTCCGGGCACCTTCTTCTTCAGTGCCGTTTATATTTTATTTTATTGGACGAAGATATTTTCCAACAGTACACTTGCTCTGTACAAACAAGTAACTTCATTCCAATGCCAAATATCAACATCATGATCTATGAGCTGTCAGTTTTTTGTATTTTTTTTTTCACAACCTGAATTGTTCTGCATTTTATTTTATTTCTTGACTATATTTAGAACTTAGAATTTCATTGTGATCTCAGTTTAATTTTCATTATAAAATTCCCTTGTTTCTCTCTCTTACACCACCAAAGGCGTGTCAAAGATAGGGGAATTTGGTTCCATCCAAGAAGAAATAGACAATAAGAGAGAAACATAGGAAAGCAACTCAAGGATGTTAGAAAATGAAAAGAGGGAGTGGATTTCAACCTCCAAAAATTGTTGGAAAAAAAATCCTATTACAAAATTTATTATCCAAATACATTTAAGGACTCAACTCTTTGTGTGAACCAATCTTATATTTACAAAGTGCAATTCTTCTTCAACTTAAGATAGGTTATTCATAATATAAAAAGAATTATACTACCTTCCGTCTTAAATATAAAAACTAGTTGACTAATTTGAGTAAATTAAGAAAACATATTAAGTTAGTTATTTGTAATAAATATGTGTTGTCTTTCTCAAAATATTCTTACTAATCAAGTTTATTGGTTAAAATTACTATTATTAGAAGGACTATCTTAAAAAAATGAATAATATAAAAATAAATGAATTGGGGTCTTATATTTAGGATCAAAACAAAAGTCAAATAGTGTCTTATATTAAAAACCAGAGATAGTACCAGATAAAAATAGATTATTACACTTGGCTTCGTAAACAAGTTTTAGAAACCTTTGAACAGTAAATTTTGGAATGGGAATATTTTTAGCAAATTTTCTTTTAATAAGCATTATGTAGGATGGCAAAAAAAAGAAGAAGTAATTTTGCAAAATAATATAAGTGCGGCTAGGAAAAAAAGTTCAATCATAATAAAAATATATTTATGGGATATTAGAAGTTTTAATATTTGATATTTAAAAAAATAAATAGTGTCATTTTAATATTCGCAGTTATCCAATAAACCAGAAACTAACTGCAATTGTTTTCTAAATGAAATAATAATTATTTTTGACCAAATTATATAAATATTTCATCTTGAACAATAATTCAAACAGTTTCTAAGGATA